TTTATCTTCTGTTAATAAATCCATAACACAAACAGCTTTTCTGACATTATTTAAACATTAGATAGATTATATAAACTGTAAAATATTAATAATAACTGGATTAATTTTATTAATAATAGTTTTAGTGATTTCTACATCGTCAGTCCTTTTTTTCCTGCTCTGTTGTCAACATGTACAGTGATGGGAAATCCAGAGTCTTGACCGTTTAGCGTTAGCCGTTAGCTTCTCCAGCCGATCACATGGTCACCTGGTTTTAGCGCCTCCAGCTGTTCTATAGAACCTCCTTGTGTATATCTGATTGATTTGGATTACCGCCACAGTTAATTCACCTTAGCGAACACAACAATGGCTCCAGTGTCAGAAAAAAATGTAGCTAAACTTTGGTGTGGTAGTAGCTGAGCCTCCTCCACACATATTTCAAGTGCTTATAGATCATGTGATCTTTGTTTAAAACTATGGCAGAAAGACAGCAAACCAACTCCATTAAACTCTTTTCCTTAACTAACCACTAAACAGCTGTTGAAGCTGCGCAAGAAAAAAAAAAGTAAATCTAATGCTCTGAAAAATGTCCTTAAAAAGAAAGATTTGACATGCAGATGTCTTAAAATCCACTAAAGAGCATGGGAGAGTGTGTGGTTGGGTGTATTCCCGGTGATTGTTCTCTGATATGAACACCTCTTTAACTCGAGCACAAACACAAAGTCACACACATGCAAATTATTTTGCACTTCCTCCACGGCTGGAAGAGAAAACAAAAGCAAACGGAGCAGCGAAAACAATTAGTCCAATCAGGGGTGACAGAAGGCAATTAGAAGCAAAGGTTTAGGAGCCAAAAGGCGGCGCTGAATAGACCGAAGACACACGACCGAACTGCAGTAATGTTTCTTTTTTTCTAAAAAGGTGTGCAAGGCAGGTCTGAAAACAGCTGCTTCATTCGGAGCTTTCAGACGTCTCCTAAAAGATATCATCGAGACACAAGAAGTGGAAAACGAGCAGCTGCTCGGCTGCTCTCTTTAACGGCTTCCTCCAGAATCATTTTACACTAAACGTACGCGCTGCAGAGCCAAGGAGCTCCATCACTGAATTAAAGCATCTWCTGCTACCCTAACCTTGGTACAGACAAGTGACAGGTGCATTTTTCTTCTTTTCTCTAAAATGTGAACTGAAAGAGTCGAAGATGCTGTTTTCAACCATTCTCACCACACAGACGGTGGAAAAAAGCCTCTAATGTTAAATAAAAAGGTGAAATCTGATGAGCGTTTCCCTGTGTGTTACAGCAAAGTGAAGAATTTCTGTTCTGTTTAATGAACAGAACTTAAAAAATGACAAATTATTTTCACCWCTAAGCCTTTTTAGGGTCAAATATAAAAAATCCAGTCAATCTGAGTCAAAAAATATAAATATATTTTAAGTCCATATACCGCATAAACACTCTAAAACCTTTTATTTTTTCTTCTTTCCTAGCTGAGCAGCTCATTTGTGTTAACAGCACATTTTAGGTGTGGAAACGTTTGAACGGAACATTCTGGTGAGGAAACAGTTCATGATGTTTAGCCGTTTATAAAAGCTGGWGAGAATTTTTGAAAATAAGCACAAGAGTAAGATAGTACTAAAAGAAAATGTGTTTTCTACAGGTCTGTTTGATGCTCATTTTATGGCTCAGTAACACGTGTGCCGAGGTTTTCTTCTAAAACACCAGCTGCCTCTTTAACAACAAACATATTTAAGCCCAACTGACTGTGAGGCCCAGAACCAACAACCAGAGAGCAAACAGAATGATTTGCTGTTGTAAAAGTTCCCTAAGCTTAATTTTAGAAAGAAATTATTCCAAACTTGAACACAACTAACTATAAAAGATGAATATACAGGTCCTTCTAAAAAAA